ATTTGTTCAGGAAAACAGGTGTATTGTAAAAAACTCTTGGCATTATGTGTTCTTGCTGTTGTAAAGGATGTGCTGTAGTATTTAACAAGTCTGGACCTGCCAGGCTACTTTCAGTGGCTTGTATGGCAATAATCACTTAAATGCTTTGTCTGATTATGCTTCCAGCATAGTCAGATTCTGCATGAAGCATGGTAACAGATGTAAGGAGATGTGTTATCTCAGCAAATTAGCTTCCCTGTTGTTTTAAGACTTGCCCTTTTAACACCTCCACACTACAGACAGGGTAAGAGATGGCAGCTTTCAGGGACAGCAGCTCTTTCATTAGCATTTTCCTAACAAAAAGATAGCCTGTCTTTAAAAAAAATAACTAACTAACGTTGCTGCAACATACTGATCTATTTCATGAGATCAACCTGAGTCACAAATAAGAAATCAGAAGACTGCACACCCTAACACATGATCCTACAAAATTTTATTAAGAAAGAATATTTATCCTACCTACTGTGTTAAAGATTTAATGTATTCAGTGTCTCAAACCAATTTTCATTAATATTGTGAACAAACAATAACAAAGCCTTTCAAGAATAATGTTGAACTGTGTAAAATACAAGCTGTATAAAGTTTTCTTTGTAAGGGAGTTTTCAAGTTGTTTTAAAAACAACTTCAAAGAGAGGTTCATAGTATGGTCATAATGTTTGCAAAAGGATGTCAATAGTACTCTAAATTCCAGTGCAACACTGGTGCTGATTAGGGACTAGAACAGGCTATCACGTGAAAAAAAGTACAATGTGTGGTACTGGATGATCCTATTAGAATCAAAGTAAATTCACTGTTGAAAGTAAAAGTGTTTGTTCCCTGAGTTTGACTTATGGAGTTATTTTTTCCAGGCATTCCTCAAATTCCTTTTTGTATTTTTCTCAATTGATATGGCTGAAGTTCACTTCCCACTCTTAACATCTTAAAACCCAAGGGAAAGACTCAGGAGTGAGACAGCAGCTTGAACAAGGTGCTGATATTGTTTATAAATGTTTTGCTTCTGAAGAGTGTTTCTGAAATTAGCTGGAGTGCTACCTGTGATGATAAGCCAACAATGACACTTTTACATAAAGTGTTTGCTCTATTTGCCAATGTCTAAAAGATTTCATAATCTCAGGAGAGAATAGTGCCATTTGACATCATACAGTCATTAACATTGTCAAAACACTGAAGAGAGATCTTTAGCAATATGCTAATAAAAACCTGGTGAAGACTAAAAATGCTTGTCAATGAGCCACAAAATTTCTGTCAGCGGCCTTCTGCTGGCATATATTGATCCTGTATTAAGGAACATAGAAACACTATTAGCTGTTTATAAAGAACATTTTAAAGAATTAAGAAATGCTGTGATATCTAAGTTATGAGGTAGCAGGCAAGCTGTTGACAGCAGGCACTACAAGAGGAAGAGGAGGTGGAAAGGAATAATGCATGTGGGAAAAAGGATGCTAATGCATTTGCAGATTAGATGATATCAGGAACTGGTTTTACATCCTGCTGCCCACTTGTGAAAGGACTACTCATTTACACCTCACAGAGGGAGACACCTGTCTGTATTTTTCCCTATGTGGCACTAACATTTTCAAAATTATTCTTAGGTATCAATAAAATAGATCATAGACTCAACGGGAGAGTGTCTACCAGGCTACTCTGTATAATTTGGTTACCAAAGTAATTAATTTCCTCCAAGGAAGAGGGAGTATCCAGTGCTAGTCAATCTGTTCCATGGTTCCTTTGTTATCAGGCACTGTTTATAGATAAAAAATTAGCTTATCATTAAATTAAAGGGATAAATATTCCATTACAGAACTAGAAATATAATTATGAAAACAGAAAACACATTGCCTATGTACAAGAACTCAGCTGCATCCTCATGCACTATTTTTGGTGTCTCTCCTAGGACAACATTAAACCATGAGAGATGCAGGCTGATTGTAACGTATCTAAACGTTTTCCAGAGGTTGGTTTAATATGCTTTTGCAGTTTTTTAACTGAGGATTGACTCCTACTGCGTGTCTCAAACTAGTCCATTCTCTGCAGGTTACACAGCTCTGCTAGTAATTTGCAAACCTTTTTAAAAGGTGTGTCGAAGGGAAACCCTTGTTAGCACTGCATGCCCACTGAACTCTAGGAGTTCATATGGTGACTCTCCACCACTTCCCTGGGCTTGTCAGTTCCAGTGGCTGACAGCCCTTTCACTGAATAAATTTTTCCTAATGTCCTATCTGAACCTCCCTTGGTGCAACCTGAGGCCGTTTCCTGTTGTGCTATCACCTGTGACCAGGGAGATGAGACCAACCTCCTTTCAGGTAGCTCGAGTGAGAGATTAGATCTCCCCTTAGCCTCCTTCTCTTCAGACTTCAGAACAACCCCAGTTCCCTCAGATGCGCTTCTTAAGACCTGTGCTCTAGATCCTTCAGCTTTGCTGCTTCCTTTGGCTGTGCACGGAGAACACAGCTGGCAGCAACAGCAGGGAGCAGCTTCGAGAGCGGCTCTCCCCCC